AAAAAGAAGGACGGTTCGATGAGCGAAGAGCCAAGTTCTATATCGCAGAACTCATTTTGGCCATCCAACACCTCCACAACAACGATATCGTCTATCGTGACCTCAAGCCGGAGAATATCCTACTGGACGCAAATGGCCACATTGCCCTCTGTGACTTTGGTCTGTCAAAGGCAAATTTGACAAAGAACGACACCACCAACACGTTCTGCGGTACAACCGAGTATCTCGCTCCCGAAGTTCTCCTTGACGAGTCAGGATACACCAAGATGGTGGATTTCTGGTCGCTGGGAGTTCTAGTTTTCGAGATGTGCTGCGGTTGGAGCCCCTTCTATGCAGAGGACACCCAACAGATGTACAAAAACATCGCCTTTGGCAAGGTCAGGTTTCCTCGGGACACCCTGTCACAGGAGGGTCGCAACTTTGTGAAGGGCCTGCTCAACAGGAATCCCAAGCATAGACTTGGTGCGACAGACGATGCGGAAGAGTTGAAGCGCCATCCTTTCTTTGCCGACATCGACTGGGACATTCTGGCCAAGAAGCTCATTACGCCTCCCTTCAAGCCCAAGTTGACATCCGCAACAGATGTGTCGTATTTTGATCCCGAGTTCACCAACGCGCTGGATAACAACGGCTCGCTTAACGAACGGGCTGCTGCTTTGTCCAAGGGATTCGCAACATCGACACCCCTTTCACCCTCTGTGCAGGCCAACTTCCAGGGCTTCACCTTTGTGGACGAGAGCGCTCTCGACGATCACATGAGAGATAAAAGCCGATATGAGGACGAGGAGATGCGTGATTCTCACCATCAGGACGATGACTGGGATGACTTGGAGGACATGAACCAGAGAGGCAATCGCATGAGCGGCATCGTGCGCACAACCACCAACGAAGAGCAAATGATTGGTGGTGGTCACTTTGACGTTTGATGAGTGTGCAATCTGGGTTTACTTCTGGGTCATTTTTGGGGGGCTCTATTTTCAGGACAAAGAAAAGTTCATACGACCTTTCTCTCTCTTGCAGAAGCAAAACATGGTCATCAATTACGAAGACCAAAAACGAACATTCATGGATTTAGTGCATAAGGGCGGGTCAAACTTTGCATGTGATCATTGGGAGGAGGTGTAATCGGTACATGGCGTTTGGGCTGAGCGATGAACATTTGGATCCTGATCGGCCCTCAGAATGCTGCTTTTAAGCTGATCGAAGCACTCACACACGACAAGAACAATTACGACAACAACAATAACAACAACAATACGCTTCATGAGGAAGATTTGGGTACTGTGGAGCACCCTGACACTGATGACCTCGATGCTTCATCTACATGATGTGGTATTCCCCCATGCGGATATACGGTCTTACCGGCCACTAAGGAAAACACCCAAGCGGGAGACTTGAGTCTGAGATGAAGGCATCGCAGCGTTTTGGGAATTCTTTTACGAAGGGGGAGTCATCAAAGATCATGGCCCGTCCATAGGATAGACCGCAGTTGCAGTAGTCGTCCAATCTCAGATGTCGACCTTTGGGACTGTTGTAATTATGGCCTTTTGGAGACTGGATCGGATTTTGGATGGATGGCCTCAATGTCCACCAAAAGTCTTGGATAGTTTGGGGGGGGGGGAGCAGGGGGTGATATTATCATGAAGAAGGGGCATCAATGACGAGGGGAAAAGAGCTATTGGCTCTACACAAAGCCGTCTGTAATACTGCTTAATCAAGGTAGCTACATTAAAATAAAAAAGGACATAGGTCTCTGTAAAAACTACTTGCTGATGTGATGTTACAATAAACTTCCTGCAACATCCTCAGGAGTAACAACGGTCAGGACTTGACCCGAACCCAAGATTTTCCCCCTTCTCATTCCCTCTTTCAGTGCGACAACTTTTGTAGAGAGGACGCGACGCACAACTTGATGGAATCTTGGGGCAGGAGGACATCCCATCACGAAGGTCACAGGAAAAGAAAAACAAGGGAGTTAGGAAGAAGAATAAAACAAATCTAAGTAGGGTCGACATTATGCGAGATGGAGAGACTAACCCGGGGGGCAAGTGGGTTATCGCATGAAATGTGCCCAGGTGTTTGTTTGTTGTGGATAAATTGTTTGTTTGTTGTTGTCCCAGGACCTACCACCAGTTTGCATGAAAAACAAGACTCGCCTCAATGACTCTTCCTCTTTTTTTTTTCCCCTTTTTTCATACTTGCTTGCCTTGCAAAGTTTGGCGGATGGTTCGGGGCCTTGCCTCCCCGCGCAAGAGGTCTTTAATGCTTTCCCGATATTAAAGAGGAGAAACGGACGTCGCATGCTCTGTACTGTGGTGGTTGAGAGTGAATATGGCAGTCGGTCTGGTCTGGTCTGTTCGGGAGATACCGGGTCCCACATGTTCACCTCCAGCTCTCGAGTCGCGTAGGGTGTTGCGATACAGGAGGCCGACCTGGATGACGAGATAGAAGCCGATATCGCGAGCTTTCATACACTGGTACTAGAGACCGAATTACGTTCGTTGTTAGTGATTTAGCAGAGAACGTCCACATTGAATCATACGTGGATCATGAACCAAACGGACTTGTTTGGCTTTAACATCACACACGAGAAAAGGAACTAGGATAATTGAAGCGCATGCGAATAGCATTCCTAGCCAGCGAGGTTTAGTTGGACAATATACACGGGATTACCACCTCCCAGCACACCTTTCCTCTCGTTTCTAGGGTCCTCTCTTCCCCTCTCTCCTCTCTTGATCTCTCTCCATCTGTCAATCACTGACACACTCCCACTCCTTTTGGCCCATCGGAGCAGGCGGTGAAGGTTACAGATCCAGAAGTAAGTTGAAAAAGCACTTTTCCCCCCTTCACTTCAGGATTGATGACGTATCGTTTCGGGTCCGGGACGGTGGTTCGTTAAAAGACTTTTTTACGTGACGCATGATTGTCTAGTGGTGAGGCTCCTCCTCGTCCTCCTCGATCATGAGCCAGTCGTGCTTGATGGGCTCGCCGGTGGCAGCAGCGGTGGCGTCCTGGCCCTCGACCTCGACGGCCATGCTCTCGTACTCCTTCAGGCTGGCGGCGAGGTCGGCCTCCTCGGGAGACTTGGGGGTGGCGGGGATGGAGAAGGTCTGGACCTGGCCCTGGGAGTCGGACTCCTTGATGGGATTGGGCTTGTAGGCCTTGAGCTCCTTGAGGTAGAGCTCCTGCACGAAGTCGGCTGTATCGGGGTTTGCGGGTTAGTAAATGGTTCGGAACAAGGTTCGGGCGATGACGACAGCGACGGCAAGGGGAATAGAGGAGGAGAGTGACAAGCGTTCAAAGTGATGGATGGGTAATGGTCGGTCTCGAATGGTCGAAGAGTTGTTCAAAAGGCCTGGGAGACCGATATCGTTATCCGACGGCGAGGTGCACCCCAGCTTCGGAGCTTGGCCTCCCTTAGCCGCACCGGCAATCCGAACGACCACCTTCTCGCATCGAACGCGACCTCGATCCTCCGCTGGGCAATTGAAATCGAAGACGGGAAAAATGACGAACCTCTGCGGGAGACCGTGGGAGCGATGAATCCCCTCATCTGGGCGGCGCTGGGCCTCGCCAGCCGAGAGACAGCCGAAGCGGCGCGCTGTTCGAATTGTCAGTTTTTTCCTCACTTGAATCACGGCCAACGGTCCGCGCGTCCGAACGGATGCCGACGACAGCGACAGACCAACATCATCACGACGAGAGGAACTTAGAGGAGACGTACAGTGGCTCTGGACAATTGGACGAGCATCTTGATATGTGGGTGGTGGCTGGCTCAATTGGGGACACCGGGGGGAAGGGGGGAGAAGGTGGTTGAGGGTTTTGTACGGGATGGGACTGTAAAAAGCTGGAGTGAGCTGGTTCGGTTCTGGTTGGACGCAATGATTCCCAGCCGACCGCTACGATTTTGATGCCTGAGGACTCAGGCTGAGAACTGCAGAGGCAGGCGGGACTTGGATTCGATTCGACCTTTGCCTTTCTCCACTTTCCCACACTACGCCCGCATGTTTCCATCCATCCATTGCTGCAGCGGGTCGGGGGAAACAAGCAGCAGCAGCTGGGCTGATATCACGTGAGCAAACACTTCCCAGGTTCCCGCTAGGCTCACTTGACACTTCACCGTCAATGCCATTTTCCTCTGGTATCGGCCTACCTGGTCTAGAGTGCTAGCTGATGAGGTGGTCATAAGGCAAAGCCTTAGAGGAATGTTTTCGTCAGTCCAGAACTAAGAAAGCACCCCTCCGCCAAACTATCGCCGACATCATAGGCTGGTGGCTGGCACTTGACGCGGGCACACCTACACCAACTGTTCGGATCAGCTTGGCCTAAGCTACTTTGCGATCTGGGCTAGCACTCTCAGAGAATGACCTCATACATCAACATCTCACCATCCGTCGTTTTCGTCACCATCGGACTGTTTCTGTTGTTTTGTGCTGAGCTAAAAGTCGGGCTAGACCATCGTTCACTCTGTTCCCCTCTAGTTGACTACAGTTGACTCAGCTTATTCGCTCACACAGATGAGCGGCAGGTGGTGAAGAAGCTCGTAGGTTAAAATATCCCTTAAATCTCTGCTGCTTCATTTGATTTAGTGTCTTTTCTCGCTCTGCCATTTTACTGGCGAAGAGATAGAAAGGCTCAAGGCAGCATATGTCTACCTAGTACGTGATGGCTCGTGTAAGAGGTTCGCAAGGCCATGAATCACCAACGCAGATGGAAGTCTCTGAGGTAAGATCAAGTGATCATGATTTCGCAACCTGGCCATCAACCGAGTAACCATCATTAATCACGCCAAAAACTCCGTACTCTACCCAAATTGCCGAAATTCACAGTGCTGTCCCCAATCTCCCATAGGCATGTCTAGGGTGGCACCCTGCCAACTGGATATAACAATCACCCTGCACAAACCAAACTTAGTAGAGGCCAAGCTCTATACCCCCTCTTGTATCTCCTCTGTCTCCTTGTCGTCCATGATAACCCGCAATCTAAGATAAGTCGTGCGCTTATTTCTTTTGGCGGTAAGGGATGCGTTGCTGGGAATACGGAGAGTCGTGGCTCTGCTCGCGCTTGACGGTGCGCTTGGACTTGCGCATCTCGCCCCAAACGGCGGACGCAATCCACGCGACTCCGAGAATAGCAGCAACCACGGAGTACGCAATGACATAGGCCCGAGATGAGCTAGCAAGCTCGAGGCCCAGACCGCCGTTGATAATGCCGAGAATCATCACAATCCTGCCGAACCAGATATGGACATGGCTGACGGCGCCGCGGGACTGGAACTTCTTGTAGTAGGCGTGGTGAGCGTATCCGAGGAATGGCTGCACGGCCAACAGCGCAACAACAACAGTACCCAAGAGGGTATGGGTTTGCGCAAAGAGCTATGCAGTATCAGCACTACGATTCTGAGTATCCGGCTCTCGGGGACCCAAGGGGGCATAGATCCCCGGTTTACAGAATCTGAAAAGCAACTCACATAACCGTTGTCGCGCGCATAAGCGTAGCCAGTGCCGAAGCCGGCCCACATGAGCAAGAAGGCAACCGACTGCCAGGCAGCATGGGCCATCCACTTGCCCACCAGGGGCATGAGAATGGCTCCGATGGGGTACAAGAGAACGAAGACGATCGACATTACGATGCCGTGGGCGAGGAGGACCTTGGAAACACCGCCTCCTCCGTTAAATACAACACCACTGCCGCCGCTGGTGGTGCCGCCACTGCCACTGCCACTGCCGCTGCCACTACCACTGCCGCTGCCGCTGCCGCTGCCGCTGCCGTTGCCGTTGCCGCTGCCGCTGCCATTACCGCCGCCGCCGCCGCTGCCACTGTTTCCAGAATCAGTCACAAAGGGGTTGCTGTCGGTCTGAACCGTTGCCTGCGTCAAGTCGAGGTTGAAGTTGCTGTGCTCATCGTGCTGCTGGATGCTCTGACTAGCGCTGGCAGAGTTGATAGCGCTGCCCGACTTCCAGGCTGCGATCCACGAGCTGGAGGCCGAGTTCAAGGCCATGGAGCCACTGCTCCAAGATGCGCAGTTGGTGCAGCGCACGTTGGCGACCATTTTGCCGTTCTCGATACCAGAGCCGCCAAGGAGCTCAAGGGTGGTGCTCGAAGAAAGAGTGGGCATGTTGTGGCCACGCGTAGTGCGAGGGCTAATGGTAACATTGCCTTTTCCATCGGTATACATTAGGAACATGTTGGCATTCGACATCGACGAACCCGTGCCGAGGGAAATCCATTGGTAGCTGGTCGGGGCAGACATTTGAAAGTATATGTTGCCGCTGCCGGAGCTAGAAGAAGCCGTAGGGACGGCAACGCGGAAACAGACATCGGTATTGGGGCAAGCCTGGATGGCATCAGCGGTGGCCGTCGCCGCATCTGTTCATGTTATTAGTAACGGTGATCTGAGAGGAGATGCTCTCGGACATACAAAGCGCGGCCGCGAGAGAAGAAGCTGCGAAGGCCTTCATCGTGTCCGATGAAGTAAGGGACCAGACGTGGATATCAGGGTCGTTGCTGCTGAAGGTGTCAGTAACGAGCGTTCGCTTGAGCTACTATGGAGGCTCAAGGGTATTTTAAATCATAGACACCGGAATAGAGTGGGGGTCGGGATGTAACAAACATACTTGGTGATGGTGTTTGTGTGTGTGTGTGTGTTTGTATGCAAGGAGGCTCAGGACTGGACGTTGTAGTAGCACAGCAGTTGGGGGTAGGGCGGTGTGGCCGCTAGGTGGGAGCTTCGGGGGTTCTTATGAAGATGCGATGGGTACGCGAAGGCAATCCAGCTCCGTGGTAGTTGACGGCGGAGATGTGCAGTGTGGATGCCAGGTTCAAAGCGGCGAACAGAGAGGGGCCGGAGCTTTCACAGTGGCTTTGCTCCCTCTGCCAGTTTTGCTATGATTTGCGTTCATTGGCACTTGCTCTTCTTTCCCCACGTTGTCGCCCATGGGATCTTGGCGTTGGAAATGTTTACATCTTCATACACTAGGTAGTACAAAGTCATCCCGTTTTTACTTCCTGAGTCTGTTCCGAGAGACAGGCCCTGGCCCCTGCCTTTCCCTCACGCCCACCCATTCGTTGCTTCATCTTTGCTTGGGGGGGTGCGAACAACGAGAGTTGGCTTCCTCTAACAGGTCCAGCCACGCAGGGGATAACCCCTGGGGCACTTGTGACCGACACATAAGAATGCCGGCTGCGAGCTGTATCGGCACACCCAGCGGGTAGGTGTTGGTGATTTCTGCTAGAGGCACTTTAACGAGGGCTAGAGATCAGCATGTGTCTGGCGGCATATCTTGGCTAACACAGCCACGCAGACCAGGAGCTGTCGTAGGCTTGGTACCATAGCAAGTAGTCGGGTAGTTTTGTGCCGTACGTAGTGAAAAGTGGTTACGGGGGTGAGAGTTGGGCCCGCGTCGACGGACCCGGTCGGTTCAACACGTTCCCCGGGTTAGTAAAGCCTAAAAAATGGGAAAATAGACTAATCAGGCACAGGCACCCCTGGTCGTAAATTTGAATCCTTGCGGCGGGTCTTGGATGCCGTCTACCGTACCCTCTTTTAGGGTGTCAGACAGAATTGGGAAGGATTATGATTGGGCCAAAAGATTAGCCCAGCCCCCGCGATGCCGAAGGGGAAGTCCTGGTCCGTCCGGGGCTGCTGCATGAGTGCTCATCTGGCTTGACCGGGCCTGCTGTGGCATGAATATTTGGTATCTACGAGGTAGGTAGTCAGTGACAAGTGGACGAGAGAGTTCCGCTTGTTGGCCCAGTAAGGGAGGTGCAAACTTGTGTGAACACTGAACAATCAGATGCCATCCAGAGCATAGCCGTCCAAGGGTCCGGGCCGGGACCATCCTGGCGGGAAGCAGCAGACTTCTACGCATATGGGACTAGTGGGTTGGCAGGGTGTTTCTGCTGTTCCTTCTTTGGGCCGTGGGCCGTGGGCGGTGGTTGTCCGGCAGGAACTCTAGAGAGAAGAGGGTAGGGACGTACCTGTAGCCCTGGCGGGCGGAAGAAACGAAACGCCTGGTGGCGATGGCCCTGGATACTCTGCATATGCGCGTGCGTAGTTTGCTGAAGGCCGACGACCATGCTTGGAAGAGAGAAAGTCAAGGTGAACGGGCCAATGGACAAGCTGGGCGGACCCAGCCTCTCGGAGGCAAAAAGATACCGGGCGGGTTATGGAGGTCTATGCTGTCATAAGCCTTGGTCAAAAACAGTGTTTCTTGGGATTATCCGTATCAGAGGGAGGAAATATCGGACAATGGGGAGTGAGAAAAGCATACGCAAACATGCCATGGCATCTGCTTGGCATGGACTGCAGAGGGCGAATTGAACCAGAGGAAAAGAAGAAAGATGTGGAACGGAGCACCGAGCCGCGCCTTCGGGTTGCATCATCCATCGTCACCATGCGCCTTGTCCAATACTGTGACAGCTGTTGAAAAGCGCAGGAGGATGCTGGGTGCACTTGCCTGTTGGCTCAGATGTATGTACACGCATACAGGTAGGTACCTACATATCCGAAAATAACCAAGGCACGGCAAGATCAATCTCGTCGGGTGTTTCTCACGACGCCAGCGAAGGAAAGCCGGTATATCGAAAGGGAAAGCGCCTAGAACACGCCGCGAGACCTGTGCTCGGTCGGCACCTCGCTCAGGACGCGGCGGTTCAAGACCCCGGCTCGTTCACAGAGTACAATCTCTCAATGTCACAGTTGATCACTCTCACGACTCACAGTATGCGCCTGTAATTTTTTGCCAAGTATTACATAGCGAGTCTTGCTGACGGGGTACATTGTCGCCAAGGAAGGGGCTTATCTGACGGCAGCCGCAGCTTTCGGCATTTCTCAACATCCCCTGTTGCTGGGTCTCAGCCCGATGCCCTCACTGTCACCGAAAGGATGGGCAATCCTATTTTCGTTCCCGCGAGGCATCATCCTTGGAAGGCATCGAGCTCCTATCGTCGGTCAAAGGCCATCTTCCGCTGGCCGACGATTGCGACCTTTCCGACACTCGACCACGTGTAAGTCGGTCTAGAGTCGACCATGTGGGTGGGAGGACGTCTCACGGACTGGTGAGTGGTGAGGCCTGCACACCAGACCTAGGAAGCAAAGGCGATCAAACCGTCCAACTAAGCATCCGCACATCCGTACAACTGTCCCGATTTGCCAAATCTTGTCACTAAGACGGCACCAGTGGCACAAAAAGATCAGCACCGACGCAGGCCGCGCAATGCTTCCATGTTTTGTTCCATTCTTACCCGCTAGAGGAAGCGGCCGAAGTGAAGTAATGAGATACGGGCCGGAAAGATGGCAGATCACCGACATGGCCGATATCATCAGTCTAGACCTTGCTGGACAATTACTAGGATGGCTAGAGCTTCCAAGCTCTTTGCCAAACTCGGAAGAATTTGAACCTGAGCACTGGTACCCGCGCGCTTTTGACGCCATGTACAGAAGATGAAACTATGCTACTGCAAGGCATGAGCTCACCACAACACAGTTCTGTCTATTCGTCTGACATTACGCAGGCATTTGCCGGTTTCTTGTGTTCCTTGGCTTAGGTAATGATGCCTTGCAATCCGAAGTTTTCATTCCTGAGATGACTGTCTTCTACTTTGGACGACTGTAAGCCGTGTCATCGGGATGTAGCGCCGACCGTCAACACCTGCAACACAGACAAGTTGAGTGTTGTGGACCATCTCGTGGAGCTAGAGACGGATACCGGCTGGCTTTCAGGTTTGTCGGTGTCAAAGCTGCAAGCTTGAACTCCGCCAATAGCCATTGATGACCAGGTATTTCTCACCAGGCCACAAACAACATACAAAATACCGAGGTGGACCAGATTCAGAAACATCGAAACGTACATGGGCGTTGCCAGTGAAGAGTCCGGAAGCAGCTTCGAAGTTGCGTCACTGAATGTGGCTCAGGAATATTCCCCACGCTTCATCCACGCCGCCAAGCCAAAAGCATCTCAATGTCTTTTACTTGGCAGCACTCGTCATCTATAGGTCCACTCAGGGGCGCGATCTGCCACAGTCAGTGATGGATCCAACATTCTCCTATTGACTTGGTGGGAGTCTTTGACAGAGTTGGAATATCACACATCGGCTGTGTTTAGCACTATCGCGGAACATTATTGTTGGCGTATCTCCAATATCGATCAGAGCCGGATCTCTGCCGTGACTGACCTGCCTAGGATCTCCCTAGTCACTGTGGTACGGAGTACAATTTGGGTTCAAAGCAACAGCGGGATGGCTCGTGCCCCCTGTACAGATACTGTCAGATGGTGCTACAAGACAACGAACTCGTTACGACTGGCAAAGTTTTCCAAGGGCCCTCGCAGCCAGCTTAGCCATGTCGCGAAACTGAACTCGAATGGTTACGGCGTCGCCAGTGAACACCAAATTTCCCGATGGTGTTCATTCGTATCCTTTCATCATCTCGCGCGAATATGGACTATTCGCGACGATCTCAATGGGCCAACCCGGCAGCCATTGCCGGTGTGGGGCCGGTGAGGGGCTTCGCCTTGCCGAAGGGAGGTTTTTGCTCCCGTTCCCCAGGTTGGCTAACATCGTAGTCTAAATGGGTCGCTTGTGCCTACTAGGTATATAGTAAGGTAGGAGTCGGGTGAACCCCACTGTAACGCTGAGTCTAGGCGATGGTGCAACCTTCCTCCCGCCTCGAATTTGAGTTGCTCCGGAGCGACTCCACTTCCGCAACCACAATTTTGCTCATAATTCCACGACATGCCGTTGAGTCTTTGTTCAGTGCAGAACTTGTGGAGGCAGAGCAAACGTCAAAATTGATTTCAATTCTATTAAATCATGAGCAACCTAGCCAGCTACCTTATTTCGGCGTTGATTCCCGGGTTCCCAGGATCATGGTACATCGCGCGTTCTAAATCCCTAGGGGACTCTCATTCTGTATTTGGGTTTAGACCCTCCTCATTTGCTCGTTTAGACTACACCGCCAGAGTTTGCGGCAATAACCATTCTAGTAAGACCGTTTCTAGCATAGCCTAAGCTTTACTACTGAGCGCGAATGTGCGAAGTATTCCTCGTGGCCGCCATCAGTGGGATGAAGCGTGTACGAGTTGCGCGAATGACGCCAAGGTCTAGCCTTACCCTGTTCTCTCACACGATCCAACAACTCATCGTCCTGCCATTGGCAAGAGACCTTACTCGTCCGACTTGAGCAGATTATCCATCAGCGTATCCATAAACCCGACGTGTCGTTGACCTCTTCGGTTGTCGCGCGATAGGGAAGGGACGATTGGTAGAACAAGGCAGAAAAGCTTCTAGCATCAACGACATCGCCACCATCCGATATGGATATCGTCAGCATCGCGCAGGACATGGCCCTCGCCCCTCGCCCATGAAACAATCCGTCCACCTTTCCGACACCAAAGTAACGAGATCCTTCATCATGCGGCGCAGAAAAGAAAAAGGAGAGGGAAAAAATACGGCCCGACTG